CTGTGTATAATGAAAGACCAATTACGCAAAGATCAAGAGGTTTTGGGTTTGTTAAATTCAAAGATCCAGTGTGTGTGCAAACAGCTCTTGCTGGTGCTCCTCATATATTAGACGGCAGAACTGTAAGTTGATTTTCATGAATGAACTTTGTGGATTTATTCAAATGGCTTCAATCATGAATTACTGTACTGGGCTTAATTATTTGCTGGGTTTTATTTTCTGCTTATTTACCTGATAGCTGAATGCACTACTAAGTGAATATACACATTTAAGAATACAATATATAGCCTCCTTTACGATCCAGTGAATTGAAATCCTAGTGAATATGCCTATAAGATCTAATTCACTAAAATTAAACACAGTTCAAATATTTCATCTTCTACAGTGCCTGCCCTACATATGTACTGTATTAGTGTATATGGTTTGAAAGCAAGTTTTGGTTACAATAATCAACAAATTTTGAAAAGACAACAGTGACAGTCTTGTCAGGAATTGTCACCTAGCACAAAAAGTAATTACAAAAACAAAATATATCATATTTGCTCTATTAGTAAAATTACGTGAATTACTGTGGTGTTTCTATGGTCCAAATGCATGTAAATAATATTTTAATGATTCAGTATACAACAAAGGGTTCATATGCGCTTCTGTTGGAAATACACTTCAAATACGATATATTAATATTTTACCCACAATGCATTGTGTCCGGACAAAAATGATATCCTGCATTATTTAATACAGTATGATCATATTCTGAAAAAATTCCTTCATACATAGATTTGTCCTAAGTACAGCAGGGACGGCCACTGACTACCATAATTAGTTTTCTGCTCTTAATGCTAATGGCACTTGAAAAATTAAAATTTAGGTACTTAACGTCACTAGACATTAAGCCTCTTGGTTAAAAAAAATCCCAGTCGTCATTGAATGTTTGTACACATTATGCTTGTTGCATAAGACCCATATGAGACTCAGCGTGCAAATTGTGACAAATGTAAACACTGCTGTTGCTGGCATCTCACAACAATATTGGTGTTCATTGTTCATTTATTTTTTCTGTGTTAACTTTAAATGAACAATGACCGCAAAAAATTGTTATTAACAAGTTTAATAAAATTTTATTGTATAAAGAATGATACGATAGCAATAAAGATTTTGTTATTACTGAGTGCATTTTTTGAGTTAACAGTATAGTCTAATGAGATTGTTTTGATTTATATTATACAAAATTTCAGTTTGGAATTTGTATAATGTATAGGTCTACAACAAACGAAGTTACTAATTTAATGCATTAGTCAATTATGTATAGAGCAGAATTTGTGTGGTGTCCAGTGTGTGTTAGTAAATTAAAATGTAGGGTATAATTTGACATTAGTATGTACTTCATGGCTATACAAATGTCATTAAGATAGTTTAAGATAAAAAAAAAATTCTCCAGGGGGATTGCCTGTAATTAATGCTTGCAATTTGTCAATTTGGAAGTTCATTTCAAACAAGCTATAATGTGTACTGTAATTTAGATACAGTTATGTTGAATCTTTTTGAATTTCAATATCCTGTTCAGCTGCCATTAAAAATGAAATGTACTGCCATTCTAGTTTTAGCATGTGTTGTGTCTGTAACTAAATAATGGATAGCCCGGAATTTGCAGCAGCTCTGATACATGTTTTGACACATTATATTTCACTTTTACAAATTGAATCTTTTTTCAAACAAACATATTCAGACTTATCAGCTGATAATAGTGTATAATTCATTCACAGTATGCCATGTTGTAATTTAGACAAGGGTGAAATATAATTAATAATATTAATAATTAATCTTTGATTTGTGTTGGTGTACAACTGTACGCATTTTTGACTCGTATATTTTGTATTATTTAAATACACATAAATTGTTACTCTTGGTCATAGCATTGGACACAGGACATTAAACTAGACATTAAATTAAATAATTGACAGTGTCAGTTGTTTTTGTTTTCTTATTGTGTAATAGATCATTGATTACAAGGTTTCAACTTCAATATTCTCAGACACTCGATTTCAAGACAACATTTTTGAAAATCTGCTTGGACTAATTGAAATTGCGATGGAACTATTTGGAGGAATATTTACATCCCCTAATGGCCTCTAGTTTTTAGTACTGCAATTGTCAGGATATCTTTTTTTTTTACTTTTTAGAATTAGTTTTGTATTCATTCAAAAGATTAATACTTGTATTACATTATATGATACCTCGGTGTGGATTGTTAGTCTAATAGAAATGCACTGGTACATTTATCATTGCTATTCACTAAATACAAAGTGTTTTCATGAATAAAATTGACACTAATTATGAAATAATATATATAAACTAATGATAATTTTTTTTAAAGATGTAGGTTGTTTTTGTGGCTTGAATTAGACACACACACAAAAAAAACAAAAACCTGGAAATTGATATTAAAGCATATGGAAACATGTTATTTCTGTATAAATGAAATTGATACTGTAGGTCATGAGTGACTGTATGAATTATGGATATGAAGCTACAATCAATTGAAGTGTTAGTTAAATAAATTTTTGAGAAAGGAAAGCAAGAGTTTGTATTTCCTTTATAAGTCCTGATACTTACTTGTCAGTTTTCTTGATTCAAATCATAATTTACTACTGACAAAGTGCATAATTTTCAGTAAATTTACTAAAGGTAGAGCGATGGAGTCTGTATGACTTACAGTTTGCAGTTTATAGTTTATGTAGCGCAAAATTGACCCAAAATATTTACTTTTCTTTCTTTTTCATTGGTAAATAATTTGGCCATAGTGAGGCAACTCCAAAAACATCGAAAACATGACCATTTATTCACAATAATTGTAATTCTAGCCCAAATTTAAAATAGTTGCTATGACATGCCACACCCTGTTTTAAATGGCCCCAAGAAAAAGTATGCATTACATGTACTCCCACATCCTGGTTAACAGTATGAAAGGCCATATATTCATCATGCCAAAACATTAACCGCATTCTAATGTCATTTTTGTATCAATTGAGTTCTTATATTATCACATATTATTCTACTCATGTTTATTGATTTTATTGCAATATTTGGCCAACACATATTCTACCCATGGTGAGCATACTATATTATACATGGTGTAAAATTAATATTCATTTCAAACACCTGCAACATAACTTGCTCTCAAACATTACAATTGTATTTTTTATATCACACGTACATAGTTGCACAAATTAAAACTGAGTCTGTCATTGACAAAGACTTGTTTTCAAGGTTACCTAAACACACTGTTTGACCTACATTTACAGTGTAACTAAAGGGCGATGGTCATCGTACATCACATGTTTGAATTTTATGTAAATGTCTACGTGGCTACATGCCAAACAGGACACAGTGCAATGACCACGCCCTTTGACCTATTGTGCTTGATGGAACTTGGTTTTGCTTTACTTTTCAGTTTTTTATACATTGTACATTTGTACTTCAGCACATTGACAACTTTGTTACTGTTCTAAATTCTTACAGTACAATTCGGTATATCTCACTTTTAATTCTTGTTTTCTAGATTGACCCTAAGCCATGCACACCAAGAAGTCAACAACAAAAGACTCAGCAAATGGGACAGTTCTCAGGAAGAGTCAAGAAAGTTTTTATTGGAGGAATTCCACCAAACTGCAATGAAGATGATATCAATAATTTCTTTTCACAATTTGGGCAGGTGTGTCTAATTGAATATGAATCTTTCATTACTGTAAAAGGATTAATTATTTACTGGGTTTTAATTTTGCTTATTTTGCTGACTGGAAAATGCGCTAAATTAAAACCCAGTGAATATGTAAAATTTAGCATAAAATACATTATCTAAATGATTATCGAAATTTAAACCTAGTGAAAATTAGTCATTTTACAGTATATTGTGAAGTGTTTTGTTCAAATCTTGTGAACACCACCATGTGGCATCTTGATCACCTTTTTTGGTTTTTCTGCCTTTAGAAGATTATTCTGTCAATGTAAACCAACCATTAATCTGATTGTGAGAACCAAACTTTATGGTTCTATGCTCTTACTAAGTTTTTCGGTGTATAAAACTCATAGCTGAGAAAGAAAAAAAAATAGAAAACATTTTTCACACATAATACTTGAGTGCAATCATTCAGATATTTAACAACACAAGGATCACATTACAATGTATTCATTGGTCACTGATTCTGCCGGTACAAATGTGTACAATTTTCAGGCTTTGTTTCCATTGTTCACATAACATTTACTTATTGAAGATATCGCAGATTTACAACGTTACATTGCAAAATAAATTTATGAATATTTATGAGTACATTTTGCAGGTTCAAAGGCTGACCATGTGCATTCAATTCCTGGCTTATCCAGCATGGGTGATGCGTCAAGTACCATAACTATATAAATATTGTCAGTGGTGTTTTCAAAAATTTGCATAATCGATTGTGCTACATGCACACATTCCATTGACACAAATTTTTAGCATTCGTTTTCATCCTGAATCCAAACCCTTGGAAGAGCTGTTATAAAATGTTTATGCTTTCATACAGGCTGCCACTGACCTTAGCTATCTAGACATGCTGTGGTCAGTACAAAGATTTTATTGTGAATGCTGTTGTACATGCATGTATGATAGGAGATCATTTGAGGGTAAACCAAAAATCACGCTTGGTATTTGCTCGAAGCACTATTGATATATATTTTTCTGTTCGATACATGCTGGAAAAAATATCAATAAAGCATCTCTGATATTAGCAGCAAACAATCTTTAATTTTGTTGTGTTCTGTTTCTAGGTTACAGAGTTTATTATGATGTATGATCAACAACAAAAAAGGCCGCGAGGTACTGTGTTTTCATTTAAAGCTAACTATAGCCTTAAATAGTTTGTTTTTCATAAGAGACATGTCTGAAAAATTCATAGAACTGTTAGTTTCCAACTGCTATATGAAATCTGTTTGAATATGATCATTTTAGTAAGAGGGCTCTGCAAAGGGGTCTGTCTCTTATGACTAACATATGCAAATATATAAATAAAAACCATGATTATATCTATTATAGACATATATATTGTATGATATTAAAATAGCTAATTATATATTATTAGAGAGGTTTCATAAAAAATGTTGGGTTGATATTTTTATTTAATTATTGTGTACTATTTAAGATCTAGTCAAGCATGTGCAAATGAGGGAGAATGTTCAGCACTACAAAAGTTGTACGTTCAATGCTTACTGTATTTGGCATGTCATTTTCATTTTAACCCACACCAAGCTGTAAAGCTTTTCATTTTCCCTCATTTATGATACTGAAAAAGCCAGCATGCAATTCTGGTAGTTAAGGGTGCAGAATTGCCGATCTTGAACATAGTTGCGTGTTAAGCTAAAAACTTTCTCTATTGTGTATTTTATAGAATTGAATTCTCGGGCACATCTGCTTTAAAATAACATTAAGAATGAGTGCTGTACATTCACCCATTGGTACCAGTTCTTGCATGATGGATCAAATATTGCGTGAATAGTTAGAGAATGATGTTATTGTAGAATAGATTGTTTTATTAGTTGTACTAATGTTAATAATACTGCTGCATATTTTTCCCAGTTCTCTTACTATTTATTTTCACTAGGTTATCCAGGCTGTTACCTATATGATTCCCATTCTGTATAAACTGCTGCACTGTGTGCGTGTCCTGTGACCATTCTGCTGTGAACTACAACATTCTTTGTCACAACAATGATTGCACATTTCTCACATTGTATTCTCTGCTCATGCTTACTTTTCTAAATTTTCTTCCTTTTCTTTGTGCGAAAAAACCCCACATGGCATGGTGAATGCAACAAAATATATTCACTTGTAGAAAAAGGGAAGGTGATCTTAGAATTGGTTGACATCCTTTCAAGTAATTCAGAATGGCAGTCCATGCTTTTTTCTTTCTGGTATTCTGAAATATGCTTATATGCATGGTTTTTTTAAAATTAATATTTCTTTGGATGTTACACATACAGTACATGTACTTCACAAGCTTACATGGTACGCTTCACTTTACTACAGTGCAGTAGTTTTTACAGAATTTTGCTAAATTGTTACAAATTCTGGTATTTATTTATATCTTCTATTACTATGGTTACCGTGCTGATGAATAGGCTTCGGCTTTTTGTCATTCGAAAGCGAGGACATCGTGGAGAAAGTGTGCACCATACGTTACCACACCATCAATGGCAAAACGGTGTAGTTGTAGTTCTCTCTCTATTTCCAAGAATATATAATAAACACTAAGCTGCCTGTAGTGTTCCCCATGTCAGCTATTCTCTTGCTTTGTGGAAATTAATATTGATTGTTGTCTAACTGGCTTGTCAAAAAATGTAAACTATGTTTACATTTTTCTTGGTTTGATAGATTTATTTATATGTATATACATGACATGGTTAAAATATCACTACTTGCACCTGTGTCCTGTTATATATTCTTGTCATTTCTCAATTCCAGGGGAAAGGCCCCAAAGCCAAACATATGGCAGAGAAAGTTCAGGTCTCAGAAAATATACTATAAACTTGTAAACAAACCCATCTTCTTTGACAGAAGTTTTATTTCAAAATGTGTAAATTTGAATTGAGCGAGTCTTTAATAAGTCGTGCTTTGTCAAGTTTTGCAGCCTGCCATTTTAAAACTGCTCTGGGGTCTATCCAGGGAGGTAAAGTGTTGCTTTATTCTGTTTATTTATATTATAAGTATTAGGCCCAGAAAAGAGAAGAGAAAAAATTTATGGTCAATTTTTTTTTTTTTTGAAATTGATAAAAACCTAAAAAAACAAGTTGTAACAAGTTCATTTTTAAACTGAGGTGTGTTATGACAAGAAACACAAATACTTTTTCTGAGCCATGGCATTAATTGAAAGTTGTTGAATTTAAATTGTGATCATGCTCGAACAAACAAAACATGGATAAAGCGACACATTTGCTTCAGATTCAGCACCAACATATTGATGTAATTGTCCCAATGCTTGCTTTCTGTTCTCGTTTATTTTATTTATTTTTGTTATGTCCCATGTCCATAGGTTTGATACCTTTATGTTCTCCTCTTTTCAAAATAAGTTAAGCACTTGGAGTAGATCCCACGCCAATGTCTTTTAAATTATCCAGTCCAAGGGGGGGGGGGGCATAACATAAAAAACCAAGTGCCTTATTCATAGCCACAGTAATCAAAATTAACCCAAAATTCTTTTATTCTGTCTTTACTAATTTTATTTCCTATTTGTATTTGATTATTTTTTTAAAATAGGCCTAAAATGAACACATAACTGATTCATTATATAGTCTATAGCATGCTTAATGTATGAATTTTTGTCTTAATATTTGGATTTTTCTGAATTTAAAGATATAAAATATATATCAATAGTATTATTACTTACTGTCTTAATAGTTCTAAGTGTTATATTTCAGTTTAAGCTTCATGTGTTAAACGTATATCACTCCAAGTAGTTTAATTTATTTAGTACTAGATTCTTTTATTAGTTATTCTTTATTTCATTATAAAGGAGTCTGTCCTATTTGATTTGTTTTTTTCTTTATAGCCTTGCTGTGAGGTAAGAGGGTAGACTCCACTATCTTTGGCTACTAATACGAGTCCTACTCACAAAATACTCGGTGCATGGAATATTCCTGGATTTGTTTTTTTGAATCTGAGAATATACATGGATGGGTGAAGAAGAATTTCTTTCTCAATAAATCAGTGTAATACTTACCCAGGATTTACAAACTTAATTTGCAATTTAAAGTTTAAATTGACCTGCTTGCTGTGACACAAATGGATGAAAATAAGCAATGATTTATTCTTGCCAAAATTCATGATGTTCTGCTGAACACATTTACAATACATTTACATTCTGATTAACTTATAACATTCTTTTTCCTGCTTTGTGAAAATTGTAATAATTCAAAACTATAGCATTGATTCACTGAGGAAGAATTTTATGGGAAATTGTAGACAATCTAAATTACTGGATTTGATGGTTGGAGCTTGTTGGTGATGGAAGCTAAAGAAAAGGACGCCACTGAGAAGGATATTTAGATTGTATACTCCATCTTGTTTAATTCTTTTTTTTAGGAAATTCAAGATAAGTTATTTTAATATAAGCGAAAATCGTAATTTAACCTGGCTGTCACTAAATTAAGAAATCACTGTCAAAATGAGATTTGCCGATGAATTTTAGAGTGAAATTATTTATCTTGAAATTCCTGCTTTTATGCTTTTGTCTTTAGTTACTATTAGTTGAATTTTTTTTTTACTGGCATTTTCACCTTGCTTTCATCTCAGGTGGAATGTAAAAAGGCTGAGCCAAGAGATGTGAGAACTCAACAACAAATGCCAAACCATCAACAACAGCCAACACCTCCCCACATTTCAGTTAATCAAGTGATGGGAGGTCAAGGTTGGGGACCAGGAATGGGAGGTAGTCCGACTGGCCCTCCTCCAGCTGCTACACCCCAAACTGCTTACAGTCAGGGTGGATGGGTTTCCCCTCAAGCGCCTGCCTATGGACCACCACCAGGTAGTGTACAAGGCTTAATTATTTGCAGTTTTATTCTTGTATAATTCGCTGTTAGATAGATTGCAACATCCAATCTACTAAATTCTCTAAAGGATTCCTTTTTTTTTTTACCCAGATGATCTTTAGATTTCTAGTATTGTGAATATTTGTGACCATAAAACAACAAAAACAGTCAAAAATGTTTAAACTGTTTCAAATCATAGGAACAAGTCAACTTTTGTCATTTTTCGCAGTGTAAAAATACATAATTGTTGATCCAACAGGGATTCAATGGTCTGTCTGTTTGGTTCAAAATTAACAAATCTACATGTACCTGTGAAAAATACACAAAAACATGTAACTTGTGCATGTGGGTCACAGTATACCTTCCACCACATGTTTTTAGCCTGTAGTATGTATATGCTATGTACTCTTCTTGCTCTGAGTAATTTCATGATTTCCTATTGCAGCTGCATTTAGTGCACAGCAAGGTGGTTATGCTGGACCACAGCAAGGAAATCGAGGACATCCACCACCTCCAGGAACTCCAGTGACATTTGCTGCTAGTGGGTATGGTGGTCAACCTCCACATTCACCCTATGGCCCACCACCTCCAGGAACGTTCAATCCAGCAGCTCCGTATGGACATCCACAAACACCACAGCCACAGCCAACGTACGGTAAGTTGAAACCATGCTACTACATCATATAGCATAACATACTTTCCTCTACACTGTTAAATGTTCTGTATTTTATCTCTTGATAAAGGTGGTTCTTTTGTAACTTATAATGGTGATGGGAAAGTGTGTTTTGTTTTGTTCTTTATCTATGTAAATGGGCTTAAATGGTAGATTAGTTTGTTTCTTGGTGGTGTTTTTGTTGATGGTGGTGTTCTGAATTGGTCTTGTATTTAGAATGATGGTCTAGGTGTAATTGAACTGTTTTGCACTGATTATAGGAGGACAGGACAAATCTGGTGGCGGTAGTACAGAGAAAAATAAACCAGGTAATCTTTCCTTCCCTCATTTTGGTATTTATACCTGGTGTTTTTCCTTCACTTTCAGTCTTTTGCCTTTTCTGTTTTCCTTCTTTCCTACTATGTTGACAGTGATTGTTAGTATTGAGTATTTATTATATGTTCTGGTTAATTTTATTTGTTTTCAATTTAGATGTTTATTCTCATTTTCTATTTAGCATTATGTATTTAGTATGAACCCGAGTAAGGATTTCAATACCGAAGTCATTAAGCCAAACTTTAAATTGGAAATTTAGTATTGTCATCTCATGCAATTCACTCATATTCAAACACATGGGTCAAACCTCGGTTAACCCAAACCGCACTAAACCACATGCATAAAACTCAATTTTGCAGTTTTAAAGTCTAGACAGTACGTCCCAGGACGACTGCACGAATTTGCATAGAAACAGCGATGCAAACCGATCTTGTTCACACCCTTCAAGCTGTTGTTTTTTTAGGATTGACAGAGTTATCTTTACATTGATTTGTCAAGACAAGATAGTTGTCTCTAAAATGTGTCGATTTATTTGTGTGCAAGCTTCATTTTGCAGTGTGTCTTGCCTTAAAAAGCACTGTTCTAAATACCAGTGAAAAGAGTGGAGTGCGGTGTCGCTAAATCTGAAAAACAAATGCAGCATTAGGCCATGAAGATTTATTCCAATTTGCTGCACATCGGTTATTTGCAGTTTTTATTATTCAATTGCCAGTGACACAAACTATCAAAACAGAAACCAATTAGACTCGCGCTGAAAGAAAGAACTACTGTAAACGTTTATTCAAGGCAAAATTTAGACTGCCTATAAAAAACAAACCCCGACCTCCAGAAATATCTTGTACCGAGGACTGCCGCCCATGGTGACACAAAACATGTTGTGATATCGCAATTGATGCATTGTGTTGATGTGCTGTTAGGCAGTTAGGTTCAGACCTACTACAAATTTGCTTATTGTAGGTCAAGTAGGTCTGAATAGGGCTGGAAAGGGCAGGCCGGGTATGACCCAGGTGTTTGAATATGAGAATTATCTCATTTATTCAAATTATCTCATTTATTTTTATTTTTTACGTAGCAGAATTGTGTTAAGGTTTAATATGAGAATGACTACTAATGGTACAGAGTATTTTATTTAATAAACTCTTATTAAACAATTGAACATGCCCTTGCAGGGGTTGATGATAATAAATATGTGTTCATTTGTGGATGACATGCAGTTTCTTTTCACATATTGTACAAACAACCAATGCATCTTACATGTAATGTACATGTAGCATGAGACACATATTGAACACTGCATCATGATGACCTGCTGCTGCTGTTGCTGTATTATTCGTCCCCGATCGAAGGAAGTTCGAAACAGGAACTTAAAATTCGGTCCTCATCTGTCCAGAGTCATATTTCAGAACTCCAAATCCAGACCAAATCTGTTCATTCTGTGCCAAGTAATTTATCTGGGACATATGAACATGCAGTAGTTTACTGAATCAATCCAAGATGGCGGACTGACAGCCATTTTGTTTTTTTTAAATGTGGTATCTTGCTTTGTCAGTTTTTGGTCCATGACAATTTGTTTTACAATCAGATCAAAGATGGCCGACTGGTGGCCATCTTATTTTTCTGACCATACTACAGTACAGTTATCACGTAGTTTGGCTTCACTTCAGCGTCAGCTTTGCATTATTATGGCATTGTTATGGCTTCAGCATCACATCAATGTCGCAGCATTAAGAAGTTTATTGCTTCGCTTCATTGTGGCCACATTATCGCGACAATGATGCATCAGCATCGCTTCATCGAACAAAGAAGTAATTTACATATGTAAACAATGCTGAGAAGTATCGTAGTTATCCGGAAATGTATTCACACAGATACTCATTGCTGTCTTACAAGCAAGCCATATTCATCTGAATGCTCGGTTCATGAATGATCCCTATCCAATTATGAAGATTGACTGATTATGTTCGGTGATGAATTGTTTCCTTGACGGCCATTGGAACTCAGAGCATGCACAGTATGTCCTGTCTTCACTTGACAGTTATATCTTAGTTAAAGCAGTTATTCTATTATCTAATTCGAAAACCTCTTGTATCATTTCCGTAACGTTAGTTGCTGACCACATGCTTTTATTTTAGTTTTGACTATGTCAGTGACCTCTGACTGAACTGTGAATAAAACATGCATCACGTGATGCCTCCACATAAAAACAAACAATATTTTACCGGTCACTGGTAGCATAGTAGTTTTTGCATCAGACTCATGATCGGTAGACCCAAGTTCAAATACTACCTTAGGCTGAACACCTAAAAGGTCGACCCTTACCCTGGGTGAGTGTGCCACAGACTCAATGGGAAGGCCAATTCCACTGGCCGAGATTCATTCAGTAACGAATGCAACTTTGGGGGGACCTTGGTTAAGGTTCGCAGGTGCTTGTGTTCGACCGAGCCTGGTTGACGCCAGGATAGCGCATTAAATTAAATAAATCTAGAACTATACAGAAACCCAATTAGTTTTTGGTAAATATTTATGCATATTAACCACCTAATTTGCATAATTAACCAATTTTCAACTTTCACACAATTAACCAATTTTCAACTTTCACACTGATATCTCAAGTACTATTTGTCACATACACAGACAATAGACAGGCCCAATTAATTGTGGGTTACAATCTGTTCATATTAATTACCTAATTAACATTATAATTCATAATTTTGTGGTTCTAATCACATTTCAATAAAACTTGGTACATAGATGATCTGTTATATTGCACAGACCTCATTAGTTTTACACTCAAATCTGTTTATATTAATTTTCTGATTTGCATAATTAGTTTTCAGCTTTTCCATGAATATCTCAAGTACAAGTAATTTCGAATTATTTTTAATGTGTCTCCAATACTCTCTCAGCACATGGAGTTCTTTCTAAGCTTTCTCTGATTTTATAACATTAAGTTGTTTTTTTTTCATTTGAAGCATAGATTCATCAAAACCATTGATATAAATTAAACCTGTTCGTGTAATATCTATGCTCAAAATGTTGTTACTACATTGATAAAATCTATAAAACTAAGTATATTTTTACCAAAAACATTCAAGTGTTCACATACAAATAAAAAAAATCTTGGTGGTGAGCTGATCTGATTTATATCATTGATCATATAATTGTTTAATCCATAAATGTTATATTTTTTTTAATGATGAAAAGACCTTGGCTTTTCACATGAACTTTAAGTGTCATTAACAAACTAGAGCTACTAAATTCAAACCTTCAAATTCATAAGCTAGATTTCATATTTGTCAGCAGGTTATGGATTGATTTCTGTTTGGCCATTATTAGTCTGTCTGACACATTTTCTCAACGGTATCTTTTTTTTTTACATGGCTATTTGGTGGGCATATTTTACCCCAGAATGGTGTGAAAATCATGTGTGCAGAACTGTAATTTTAAGTAGCAAAGAATAGTTCTGTTCAAACCACATGTTGGTCCACTAAAGCACATATGTTTAGGGGGGGGGTAGATTTGTTTGAATTTGTGGCCATTTTGTATGTCAAAAATACTGTTATCAGTCATCTTTTCTTAAACTAAATTTATTCAACTTTGTACAAAAGACAATGTATTATTTCCATAGATGCAAATTGTATTTTGCTTTGATCCTGTTCCAGATGGCTATTTGTCAGATCAAGTACCAGCCTACCCTCTATTTTATTGTATACTTTTCTTGCCATAAATTCTTTTCATATTGAGTTATGTATATTATTAAACGGAGAGAAAATTAAGATATATAATAACGATAACCCTTGATTATAATATTTACCTTTGTATCTACATATTATCAGACCTGATTTGTTTGTCTTAATCAATATTTTCACTGTTTTAATCATTCTGTGAATGCTTAATACTTAACACTTTCCATGGGCAATAAGTGGTGAGGATAATTTTGATAAGCAAAGTTCAACAACTTAATATTTTAGGTGGTACTGTACGTGGACTGGAATTAACTTATACATGTACAACCCCCCCCCCCCCCTAAATAGCTTGACTCAACTCGCTTGCTGTATCTGTTTCACACATTTTACATATTTTATTAGTAATGTCTGTTTGTTTTGTTTAAAGGTGCACCGCCACAGTATGCTGGATATGTAGGATATCCTGGAACACCTGATCCATATGCCAGTCAGACAGGACAAGCTGTTTATGCGAATCAACCTCCACCACCTGGTAACTATGGTAATGCCCCTCCTTCAAGCAAAGAAAACACTGGTGGCGGTGATTATAGTAGCCACTATGGTGGAGGTACTTATGGTGAGCACAGAGGGGCACACATCACAATTCATTTGCACATGTAGAATGACACATGATAGTACCGTAATCGGAATGGTCTACTCAGTTTTATAGTGTCAATCTAACTACCTTTGGAACTTCAAAAAACTCCACACTAGAACTTTATGTATCTATAAAAGGAAGTCTTTTTTTTGTGTTCTTACTTGTATCTTCATATTCATCTTGTCTACAATCTATAAAATCTAAATTTATGATATTTGTGGATTTGCAATTTTGTTTAGGCTATTTAGAGGACAGACAGTGTTTGGGATTTTCTTGTTTCTGTAGTATATTGCTTGTTCTTGTTAGATATACTCTACTTTCACTTCTTGTATGGTAATCATGCCAGAGAGAAGCCTTCTAATTCTCACAGAAGAAACTCTGCACCACAACCATCATTATAGTTAGTGAACACTAAAGCAAAATTGGAAATGTCTGAAATAAAAAATATTTTTGTAGAGGTGTGTTACGTGTTTGGACCTTTTTTCAGAACAGGGCGTTTAGGTATTTTGCAAGTTTGAAACTTAACACTTTGCATTCCGTTGCATCAAACAAGTCATACTGTTAACAAAATAATTACCTCAAATTTATTTATTATTATTGACATGCTTGGTAGTCATTGTATAATGCTAGTTTCATAACTGGTCATCCCTAGGTATATGGTTTGGTTCATGCTGTTAGTACAATGTTCATTTATTGCTTGATTCTTCACTTTCTGTAGGAGGATGTCAATAGTATGCATGTATATTGATTTTTAATTATCCTCAGTGTTTCTTGAGCATATCTTCTGACTGCATTTTTTTGATCACAAACAAACATATTTTTTCTTCTTTCCAATTTTTCTCTCTCATTCTTGCGTCCAGAAGTTTACAACAGTATGCAAACAGAACAATCAGGTAATATTTTATTGACACTGGGGAAAAAAAACTGCTACTGAGCAGTTTCATTTATAACATCTGTGTCACAACATTTTTGCATGTCTTCTGTTGTGAAAAAAAGCTTTGAGCAAGTTTTTTTCTCCTGCTTTCATAAAACAGCATGTTTCACAGGAAATGGCTGCCCTGTGAGTATTTGGTCTTCAGTTTGGAATTGCATTTCTCACATTAGACATTAATATTTGACAATACAGTATATACCTGTCTGCTAAATCTAGCTTTGGATGATAAAACTCTGGGTACTACGTAAAATCTGTATTAGAAGCTGCATCCCAAATAGAAGCTGCACCCATTCTTTTTGAACAATTGACACCCAAAAATTCACCATTTCTCATATATGTAGATGCTCTAATAGAAGCCGCATCCCCTCTGTTGCATTGTACCATTTTAATAGAAGCCGCGGCTTTTAATACAGATTTTACAGTACCTGTTGTTTTTACCTATCTATCATGGGAATAGTAAGTTATTGATGTGTTGTAGGTTCAATGGGGAGCTATGCACAGGAAGCATCTGGTTATGGTCCACAGCGAGTAGCATTTAGTAATGGATATACAACAGCTGTCACTGCTGCTCCACCTGGTGAGTAAGCTGATTTGTAATCCATCAGCATGTGAAAAATTATTGTTGAATCATCGCTCCTTTATGTAAAGTTAAGTCAGTTTGAAAAAGCTTGCTTGTGGCACTAGGTGGGTAAACTTGGCTGCTAAATAAACCAACTTGTAATACTTTTTGTATTTTTCCTGCACTTGTTGGCCTGAATTAGTAAGGCCGGGTTATTGCTTCTGAGCTCATAGAGCTTTTCTCTATTTTGTATGTGCATGATTTGCAATTTAATACACCATATGTGTAAATTTTTTAAAAGCATGTATGTGTTTATTTCAACAAGGGTACATGTATGTTAAGATTTATGTATCAGTTGTCAACAAGCATGTGCATTTCATTACATATGTTAGAATTCATGTTTTATTTATGTGATTGGAAGGGTAAGGGTAAGTATCTACATGGACATCACACTCTACACTAATTCTTTCCCCTTGTATACATGTGTTGTTTAGATTCTGTGTAATGAATGACAAAGTATTTTTGAAATGATCCTGTATGCCAATTTATAGTGATAACAAAGCTGTGCTGCGGCTGCTGCTTTTGCAAGGTTAATTTGAAGCATGCAAGTTTCGGATATTTTTAAGTATACTTTGTCATTTTGACTTGCATGCTAATATTACCCATGTGTGGCATTTTTGTAATAGTTCAGTAAGTCTAATTCACTAAAAAGATTTGGAAAATATATATTATCGATTTCGGCCATTATTAATTTCTTCATCACTGCCAGCCAATCTGCAGATGCATGTTATTTCATGAAAATAAATTAGAATTTAATTTCAAAAAAACTGTCAGTTATTATCTGAGGCATCGTCTCAACATGTCAAGGTCTTCCAAATTACTAAATATAGAATCTTGTCTTCTCTCTTTTAACTTTTTTGTCCAATATTGTAGATGCTACCAATTTCTAGTGGAATTTTTGTACCTCCAGTTCAAGGCAAGAAATTTCTCCTGTTTCTCAATATTAACTTTTCTACTATAGCCAATAAATATACACAGGGTTTGATAGGAGAACAATTTGCATCTAAGCATGTGTCTGGTAGTGATGAAAAGATGGTGCCAAACACCAATGAAAAGACATTCTGTGTACATGTAGTGGGTAATATTAGATATCTTTTACTAATTTCTCTGCCTTCATAATATCTTGTTATTTGACATACACTTCTCACAATTTGTTATCCCTTACATTATTGGCATATAATAAGTGTGTCATAGTTGTATTGATATGGTGACCCCTCTTTGTGGTTATTGTTGGTTTGGAGAGATTCATTCAAAAATGCCATTTTTGGAACCAGTTTGTTACTTGGTGTTTACTTTGAAATGATACTTTAGATTAATTGGTATTTTTGCACAATTCTAGTACATGCAGATTGTGGTAGTATGAATAATATGTGAATATTTAAATATTCACCTTTATAAAAATAACTACAAAACTTTCGAATCTTTGCTTAGTTGAAACACAATTCATTGACATTAAACCGAAACAATTCTATAAAGGGACCCCCATGAGCAGCTGATCTAATATGTACTCATTAAAATGGTTCTAAATGAAAAAAGAATGAAGGTGAGGCAAGCATTCAGATGCGATGAAAACATTTACCGGTAGTATATACCGTTATATCCTACAAGTTAGCACATGTTCAATTCCTAAAATTATGGTTGGGTAATTACATGTTCTGAAATATCCTTACAATCGTAAACATTCGTAGAACCCTGTAAACTGCCATATGACTGAAGGGAAAGTGACGTTTACAAGTTTTATACCCACTAAATTGAGGGTCATAATGCACACTGACAATGAAAAATGACACCATGACACACTGGCCTTAATTTACATAAATACTATAAAGCTTTGCCATTTCACTAATGATGGAATAACTTGAATTTATATTGATGAACCAAACATCCCCCATTAGCTCAAACATTGATAGGCTCAAACATTGTTCGTTCAGAAGTTTACAATATCGGTTTACAAAATTTGTGATAAAATGTTGCTTAACAAGTTTTGTAGGATTTACAATTATAGCAGTTTACAGCCAGAATAAAAGATCAAGAGTGGTATAAGCTTAATAATCATAGAATACCAATACACAAAATGGAACAGTATCATTTTCAAATGCATTATATTTTTAATCCACCATGAGGTATTCTTGAAATGATCAATTTTCTGAACTTATTTCAAATTTGTTCAGTCCTAACAGGTAGAAAAAACTATAGCAAAAATCTAGCTTACTATTTCACGGTAACGCGAAAATGTCATAATTGTACATTGTTGTCTGTTAGATGTATTGTTTTTGTATGTAACAAAAAGAAATTTAAGCTATACTAGTATTCTTTACACACATCTCTTCAGACACTTGCATCTTTAACAATATGGGAGCTGTTTAAGTTATTTCTCAAAATGACTACCTATGTTTTGATGAATGTTCTAATGTCATCAGTTAATTCATTAGCAGTTTTAATATACGAGTTGTCTATATGCAAAATTATTGCATTGACACTATACAATATTGTTGTAATAAACAATCTTTAAATATTATATTTTCCAGGTGGTAGTTATGGTACAACACCACCACAGGGTGCTTATCCACCACGGAGCGAGACACCGCAGCTACCAACACCACAACCACCAACACCACAACCGCAGTATGCTGCTGCTGCAGCAGCGGCAGCGGCGGCTGCTGCAGCAGCCAACTATGGACGTGGCACTGTTGCAAATCACTTGTCAGTTCCATCATTTCATCCATACCGAAGATAGATGTGCTGTTATGTTTGTGTTCCTTTCAAGTCTTGTATACAACAAGGTTAGAGGGCTGCTTACAAAACATCACCAAAGGTTGTCATACAAATCCTGTGAGCAAAGAAAACTTTGGGAGAATATGCTCTATGATCTGAGGTGGTGCCAATCTAGTGGAGTAAAACATACATAAACAGTTTAGCAGAAGAGCTTTACAAGCATGTGATGAAACAAGATGTGAGGAACAAAACACCAGTAGTACTATACTTGCTCTATTATAAATGCATAGAAAACCAGTCAAAACTTTCACTGCCACTCGCAGAATTCAAGAAAAGTTGTCTCTTGAAATTAAAGTAGATGACTATGCTCGAAGCTCGAAGATGCGTCTAATAGAGCAAATGTGGTTTGTTTTTTAATATACAATTTATTTTTACACCATATAGGTGTACAACTAATGCACATGTAATGATAGGTTACCCTTATTTTTAAAAAATGGTTGCTCTGAACGTGTTGTTCAAATTTTATTACCTCTATGTTCAGTCAGCCCGTAGAGCTGGATGGAGAAAAAACAAGAGAAAAGATGCACTTTGCCACGTTAGAATATTGTACAAGTAGACAATATGGTGCTCGAGTAAGATTCAAGAGATATTGCAAGAAATGTAGTTTGCCTTTAGTTTGTCGGTTCACTATTAATATCATTCATTCACAAAAAGGGAAAAATGCAATCGTGTGGGGTCAAATACTTTATTCAAATTGTATATCTAAACTTTTATTATTTAGTTTGAGAGATTGTTTTTTGTTACTTTGAAGCTGTAATTTACAGGGTTTCACATATTGTAAATATCGGTGCAATTTATTTTATTTACCTGATCATGACAAATGTAATATGTATGCTGTACATGTACATAATGAATACATTGTAAATCTGCAACTAAAAAAGTCATAATCAAAACAGATTTACCTTGGAAGGTAATATTGAAGTTCACCATTCTGCTGACAGATGTCTGGTGTGTTTCCAAGCATAATATACTTGTATGTAATGTGTCATTATATATCCCAAAGTTCAACTTTAACAAGTTTGTACAACTTATTTACACAAAAGACAGATGTCTCTTGAATCATGTGCACATATTTTATTCAAAGAACCTTCAGTTGCAATAAAACAAGTGTATAGCATGTAACATCTTACCCTAGCTCACCACCGTTGCAGTTTGGGAAGATATTTTTTGAAACTGATATGCACATATTAGTTTTAAAGTGTTTCATAGTATCTTAAAATGCAATGATTTAGAATTGTACAAAAAAAACATGTCTATATTATTCCACTTTAACCCAACAGGTGGCAAGTCCTCTATGCTATATATTGTACTATACATTGGCAAAACATTAAAGACAACGTTTTACAAGAAATTTGTTTTGTCCTTTTTATTTTAAATTTCACTCAATTAATTATAATACTGCTAAAAAGGTGAACACTTCTGATAGTTCATATTGATTGGGTGTGCTGTTTCTCCCTGATCTTTCATGCTCCAAATTAGTAATAATCAAAAAATTTGTCATCACTTCCGAATTACCACTATAGTTAGTTACACCACTTTTAGCTTCTTGCCTATTGTTCTAAGCATTTCTTTATTTCTGGTAGAGAAAAGTTTTTTGTCACAATTTACAAAGATTACTCTTTCTTTGTCGGAACTTGCTTGTAAAGTACTTTTTCTAAACAGTGTTAACTGGTTTCTTTTAAGAAATGCTAATACCAAGATCAAACTGTTCTTGCATGTTTTAAGTGCAGAGTACAACTTTTTTGAGAAGAAACACTGGTTTCAAACAACTATTTCAAGATCAATGAGCTGTGTGGACACGTATACATGTATACTTTAGCGAGCGAGTGAGCTAAGCCAGGACTGCTTCCAGCCAGTACAATTGTAGTCATTGCTTACACTATTGTTTAACAGATATTAGTTCAAATTAGATAAAGCTGGTTTGACTTGCAGCCAGTCAGTCAGAGTTTTCTGTGTAATATCGGTAAAATATTGTTTACGGTGCTATAGGAAGGAGTAGTGTAAGTAAATGAGAGTGGACTGACTGGAAGCAGCCAGTTTTTGCCATCACTACCACTATTGTTCAGTTAAATAATCGCAATAGTGAAAAATGGAAAAAAAAAAAACTGGGTAGGCACATGTATTACAGTACTATTTCACAGAAATGCCTACACACGGAGTGATCTTGAAGTAAATAGACTTAAACGATGATGCCTCAAAGTAAATGGAACTCTTATTTAAAAGTAAAAGATCCCAATAACAGTAGGTCCAGTAGCAAGCGTCGGAGTTTTGTAACCTCTGACAATAGTCAGAACCAGTCTGTGATACCTGGCACCGTCTGGAGATGCTTCCCTGAGGTAATGACCCACAACTCTTGCTGTTGGGGGGCAGGGTGATGATGTCAGCATTTGTGTTTCAAACGCATCTAGTAAGTGTGGCACAACTAGCTAATGGCTGAAGTTTCCGCCCGGCAGGTGGGCATTTGAGTACCCCCTGAACATCAGTCTTATGATTCCAGTTATGCCATAAGGTGAGCACTGGGCACAGTGTATGCTACATGAAACAGTTTTAACCCATGCCAATAAATGGGGGAAGCCAGTTTGTCAGGTTGTTGGCTCTTAGTCTTAAAAGGTGGTTAGTCCTTGAGGTGAGTTGCCCTGAAAGCTTGCTCAATTATCAGTGAAGGATAGAGTGTGTAACTCGTAGCATCTCCTGTCTGAAGCCAAAGCATTTAGAAACAGGGTCTTCCTTAACTAAGTGACCTAGCATGGCTGGTAAGAAGTTTGCTGCAGAAATTCCAGCACTATTGAAAATGACCAATGGAATGTTGGCCACCTTAATATTACACGCAACGTAATATTACCGTAATTGGTATAGTACAGGTGTGATGGTTCAAATACCAAAATGGCAACAGTAACAGAAAGACTTCCCTGGCGGCGATGATAAAATACGAACACGGAGCCAACAGATGAGGTTTCAACTGGTACTGGTATTATTATACTCTGCAAACATCAAGTACAATAATGCGGTAAAACTCCACTACTCCAATAACTAGATACTTAAACTCCAATACAATTCAACGAGATCTCCGATCTGATCTCAGTGCTGAACAACTCCCCTATATATACCCGCACTGTCTATAAATAGACCATTACATCAGCATACATAATGAGTCTTGAACTTACTACCAATTTCTAGAATGTTCCATTACCTTCTATTGCCTCCTACAGTGTTCTATTACCTATTCAACCATTTTCTAAAATATATAGAATATTCCACCCAGACACAGTACGGTTCTAGAACATTCTCAGTGACACGGAAGTGGTAAATAAGTCGTATGCGACACTTGGTAGCACAACAGCCTGCATTTGAATTATCCTCTTAAAAAAGGCTTTAATTTAATAGTCAACATGGTGCAGATGTGATGTTTCCCACTGTGAAAGGGACTTTCATGTCAGTATTAGCTGCATGGTAAAAAAAGTCCACCATTCGGGACATAGAAGGATAAAGGATGAGTTTTAGTGTCATTAACACCAAAAATGATAGTACAATTGAAAGATGGCCTCCTTAGCAAGTTGACCTGAAATGGGGTGACAATGTCCAAGCTAGGCAGTGGTGATTGGAATAGAATACAGTTATGTTCTACTATTACTAGAGTGGGTCTGTGAATAGCTTATTCCATTGGTGTAGAGCAGAATTCTACTGCTGATCAGGCTGAGATGGGAAAGAACAGATGTACATCCAGGCATGTGCTTGCAATGAGACTAGCATAGGTTAGTACATGCAAAACACAGAATTGTGAACTGCTTTTGAAAATGTAAACAACAATGGAAACTGAATGGACCAAGAAATAATGCACTGATCATAATGATTCCTTCAAACACTTGACAGTTGATGACATCACACCGGCTAATGCCTCATCAGTCGCATAGACTATTTCCTTAACATCAAAAGTTCTGAGATAAGCCTATAAATCTGTGGTGAAATCAGTACCCTGGAGACATCTATGCTAATATCCGGATAGTAATTCGTTCAACTTATGTATATTCAAACTGCTTGCTGAATAACGCTCTTACTGCGATGGGATCGGTAGTCAATGTGTGTTCCACTGTACCGACTACAAATATTTCTGAAATACGACGATTGATTATGACTATTGTTCAGAATGAACGTGTGACAACACAGTATTGCACAGCAACCTCAGCACTGTACCTAGATAATCTGGCTACGCCAGTGTTGTTGGACAGCACCCTCAATGCTGTAGCTGGGTAATCTGTGGACACACCCAGAACACACACTTTCTCGTTGAGTAGCGCACTCAACGTCAAGTCTGTGTAATCTACGGACACACCCATGCTACACGGTACGAGGTTTTACCCAGAATTCAACACGTTCTGTACCAACGCATATTGCTATGCGCAGAACTGAAATTCTGGCATCGTTCTGCGCAAAAACCGTTTTTAGCGCTTGAGTTGTTTCCGGGTTAGCCTTCCATGTGCTTATCGTGCGATTTATTGTACCAATATCACATTTTCTGAACGTATTCCTACACAATCATGCTAAGAGTATCCAAAAGAGTCAAGCAGGCAAGTTTAGCCGCAAAATTACGTGGGAAATTGGCTTCAACTGCTCACTCGATCGCCGATGCTGTCCGTCGGCACACAAGGTCGTTCGCTTTCTGATCTTTCTTCCGAGATTTTGACTCGAATATTCGGGTTTTGTTGCTTTTTTAATGACAGTGATGACTATAGTTCACAGGTTGAGAAAGTTAAAACGATGTGCTCACTTCGAATGGTTTGTAGGCGATTTTATGCTATCGCGTCGAATGATTTGTTCGTTATGGGAATG